TAAACTAAAATCACATAATTGTAATAGAATGTTCATAACAAAAAAAATGCTAAAGATTTCAACAAAATTTATATAATTAAAAATCCAAAAATTGTTCTTTATGCGTCTTCTTCAGTTTTTCAAAGCAAAATTTTCTATTGGGTATCATTTAAAATAAATAGCCTAGCACCTACTGCGCTCAGCTGAACTCACATAATTGTACATTTTCATCTTTAAAAGAGAGTGTAAATATAAGTTAATGCTTGTGTAAAAGTAAGTGTTAAAAAAAAAGTTGTGCATTTATATATATATATATATATATATATATATATATATATAATATATATATATATATATATATATATATATATATATATATATATATATATACATATATATACATATATATATATATATATATATATATATATATATATATATATATATATATATATATATATATATATATATATATATATATATATATATTATATATATATATTTATATTTATATATATTTATGTATATATATATATATATACATATATATACATATATATATATATATATATATATATATATATATATATATATATATATATATATATATATATATATATATATATATTGATTTATATATATTGATATATATATATACATATATATATATATATATATATATATATATATATATATATATATATATATATATATATATATATATATATATATATATATATATGTATATATATATATATACATATATATATACATATATGTATATATATATATATATATACATATATATATATATATATATATATATATATATATATATATATATATATACATATATATATATATATATATATACATATATATATATATATATATATATATATATATATATATATATATATATATATATATATATATATATATATATATATATATATATATATATATTGATTGAGCAGCCGTGGCGCAGTGGTTAGAACATCGGACCTCAGGGTTCTGGCTCAGAACCCTGAGGTCCGATGTTCGACGCTAGCTTTAGCCTAATAAGCGACACTGGTAAGGAAGGAGGCAAGAACTTCTAATTAAATGCGCTCCCGCGATGCTCCGTGATAAGACCGTAAGGACTTCTAGTAGCACCGAAAAAATATATATATATACATATATATATATATATATATATATATATATATATATATATATATATATATAATATTTACATATGTGTATGAGTAAATTATGTTATTATATATTAGAAATAAAGTTCGCAATGCTCTCAAATGTGTATAAAGAACAGAGCACTAATAACAAATCATAAATAAAATTTTGGACCAAATTTAAAAATTAATATTTTAACATTTAATAAGTATTATTATTTATTATTTCAACTGTTAATATGTTAGCGTATGTAGTTTACCATATTTAGCAATATTATAAAGTTTTTTTGAAAGATGTTTTATTTGAGAAAGGAAAATCTTTTTATTCATCTTTGAATAGCAAAATCTAATTCTTGCTTCAAGCTCTTACAAATTATCAGTTCTCCAATTATTCTTGTACACTAGCCGTTTTAAGTCACCCCAAAAGTTTTCAATTGGTTTTGCTTCTGGAACGTAAGCTGGGGGTATGTCTTTGGGTACAACTTTTTTTTTCAATTTTAAAATTTTTTATTTTTTTCAATTTTAATAAGTCAATGACCAACTTTGCGTAATGTGATCGAGCTAGATCAGGCCAGAAAATAAACTCATTGCCTTTTTTTGTAATATTCTGATACTGGAGGAAGTAAAGTTTTTTCTAGTATCTATTTATAAGTGTACTGTTGATTGCCTGCTTACTGTGATGAATACAAAGAGGGCTTATTCCACGGGGGCTAATGCAACAAGAAGCTAAGAGCTTGTCCTTGTACTTTTAACGCAAATTGTATCTTACTTTGTCAGAACATTGAGAAGAATGAGCGGCATAAAATCTATCATTACCAGCTAATGTGCTATTGTTTAAGATAAAATAGCTTTCATCGTACATAACAAAATCCAAGTTTTTATAATTTTCGTACAATTTACAACATTTAGGACGCTCAGCTTTCTTCTGCTGATGGCTACGATCTGGACGATTTGTTTTTTTGAAAGTTTTAATGTTAGTCATTGTTTTTAATACTTGGGAAATTCTAGTTTGACTACGTTAGAAAACTTGAACTACTTTCTTTTGGGAGCACCCTGACTTATTTTCAAAAAAAAAAGCAATCTTTGGAATATTTTCTTTAGTAGCTACCGTAGCGATTCGACCACTTCCAACTTTTCTTTTTAGAAATCCATTCTCCAATTTTACGATTTATCGTAAGCTGTTGATCTGGGTGAACCCCATTTCATAAGTTGCTTAACAACAAACGCTTTTCCTTTTTATGGATTTCTTTGGAAAAAAATTTCCATCATTTTTTCGAGGTCCTTTACTTTGACATTTTTATTTTCAATATTTAAAAAATATTTTTAACTTAATTAAATTAAATTTAAATAGATTATAAAATCCTCTTTCAAATAAGTATAAAGGTTTTTTGCTTGCATGAAATAAATTATATAATAAATACAGTTGAAATTTGTCCGAAATTTTATTTATAGGGTGTTAAGTTAGTAAAAAACACTTATGTAATTTTGTATTCAATTCGTAATTTTACCTTCTGTATACAGAAGGTAAAAGTACACACACGTACTTTCTGATATAATAGTATCAGAAAGTATCCTGGTCACCTTATATGATATATAATATATTAAAATCATATAAATAGATTTAATATATATATATATATATATATATATTTATATATATATATATATATATATATATATATATATATATATATATATATATATATATATATATATATATATATATATATATATATATTAAATCTATTTATATGTTTTTTTTACTATATCATATATATATATATATATATATATATATATATATATATATATATATATATATATATATATATATATATATATATATATATATATATATATATATATATACATATATACATTTTATTTATGTAAATGAAAAAAGGCTAGAAAGCTTTAACATGTTCAGTGGATTTATTTTATGTATTATTTGAAAAGTGTATAATATCATTAATATATAGTAATAATTGTCTTTATACTGCATTTCCGCTTAGCTGATTATCATTACCCTACTCTCCCATAATGTTTTGAGTGTAAAATATCAAGAAATATAAAAAAAATAAAAATGAGACTTAAACACAATATATCAATAAACAATAGCAAATCGATAACAACTAATTTGTACTGAATAAAATTTCTACTTTTTGTTTATTCTTTTAAACTTTAATGCAATAAATATTTTGTCATAAATTTTACAATAAACAATTGTCTACTGTTTAGTAAAAGATGTTGTCAAGAATATTATGATAACGTTTGCCACTATTAACATGTCAGAAAGTTATTGACTGGCCATTTATAGCGGCTGACACTAATGGTACACTCAGTAACCAATGAACAAGACTACTGTGTAACGCTCAAAATGCCTATATAACTCACGCTATAAAATATTTGTTCGGTAGCTAGATAACATATAACATGTTAAAAAGTTAATGGTCTACAAAATAACCAATGAGCAAAATAAATTCGGCTGATTAAAATTCCTAAATAGGTGTACTGCAAATCCACTTCAATAATGTTATTTAAATGTCTGAATAGTCATTTTAAGTCATTTTAATTTTTTCTTTGTTCCTGCCTAAGCAATAAAAAAGAAAAACGTATTAAAGTACGTAAAAAAAATTTTGTAAAATGCTTTAGATCTGGATCCTTGCCAGGAAGATAAAGTAACAGATGTAAGACGATTTTCAAAATAACATTTTTGAAATTTTAAAAATATAAAATTTGTAGTTTACTGGTATAAATTATGTTTTTATTGTGACGCCACAATCATGTTTTAACTTTTTTATTCAATCCATATAAAAAAATGTTTAAAATTGATTATGTATAAACTGAGGCATGAGTTTTTACATCAAGATAAAAGTTCAAATTTTTTTCACGTAATCGTTTCTTAACATTTCTTAATAATTATTAAGAATTTATAACTTGGTGCGACATTGCTTTCGATGTCGCTTTATCATTAATTCAGCGTTTACATGCGCACTGGGAATTTTAACATTGCTCTACATGTCAACATTGAATTAAATCCTGAGGAATTTGTAAATTCTTGCAAATGTTAAAACAGTTATTATTTTTAAAATAAAAACAAAAATTTTAAAAGTTAGTTTTCTTCTCTGCCATATTTCATAAACTCTACTCTGGACTTACAGAGCGCGACTTCAGTGCAATGAATAGTAAAACTATTATAACTAAATATTTAGGTAATGAGCTATTTTCTATATATTAATAACCTAATTTTTGAAAATTTTAATCCTCAAAACATAACTAAACTTTGGTTTCTCAATACAAGTTAGAAAAAACTGTACAAACTGAGGCTTGTTTTTTTTTTTATGAAATATCAGAAAAAAGGTTGTAAAGTAAATTAATAAAGACTTCTGAAACTCCATGAATATTAAGTTTGAGCATCATTCATTTAAATGTCAATGAAGGTTTGACATAGTTAAATGTCAATGGAGGTTTGACATGGTTAAATGTAACAAAATGATATACTCTATTGAAACTTTAAACTTTCTTACAGTTCGAATTTACATCAAAATTTGAAAGTTATAAAAGTTTTGTAAATTAAATGTAAGTAATAAAAGTATTTTTTATTTTTTTTTTAACAATTTTAAAAATTATTTTAGAAAAAATATAAACAAATCATAGCATATTGCTTTGTTATTTAAACTTATTTATATTATTCAAGAAATAAATTTTATTATTCTAATAAAATTTGAAAGTTATTTCTTATTGCCAGCTTGAAAAATCAAAAATACTACATTATTTTTTACTGTATTGCTTTTCATAACCGCCAAAAATTTATTATTTTGTAATCAAATATTATAAAAAAAAACTTACAGGAGATGATGAATACCACTGTCTGCCATCTGGCCAATCCTTCACGATCCAAAAAAAAGAAACATAACCAAACGAAACAGATGATAAAGATGCAACAGAAGCAGATAACATTATGGTTGCTGTTCTTTCTTTTTGATTTCTATAAGATACTAAATTATCGCTTTCCAACAGTCTATCCACATCCAATTGATCACATTGAGCTACATAATAACTTTTAAGTTAATACAAAAATCCTTGTTGCACTCCTTGTATATATAAAGAAATATATATAGTGTCATAAAATTGTTTTTAATGGTTAGAAATAGTTGATTTTAATTTTAAAAGTTTTTTAACTTAAATATATAATTGGATAAAAAAAAAAGTTTTACTACTTAGGTTGTTAGAGAAGTTTGAATAGCTTCATCTTTAAGTTACAATAAGACAAGAAATAATTAAATAAGACAAGAAATAATTAAATAAGGCAAGAAATAATTAAATAAGGCAAGAAATAATTAAATAAGACAAGAAATATTTAAATAAGACAAGAAATAATTAAATAAGACAAGAAATAATTAAATAAGACAAGAAATAATTAAATAAGACAAGAAATAATTAAATAAGACAAGAAATAATTAAATAAGACAAGAAATAATTAAATAAGACAAGAAATAATTAAATAAGACAAGAAATAATTAAATAAGACAAAAAATAATTAAAAAAGACAAAAAATAATTAAATATCATCTTAAACTGTGTTTAACTATGAGCATTATAAATAATTGTTGAAATATTTTAAATGTTTATTAAAAAAGTTATTTAAATTTTATTATATACGTTTGAAAGAAAAAATTTAAAAATGGAAAAACTTAAATATAAACAAAGCACAATCCGATAAATTGGTTTTAGTTCATGGTGACTAAGCTCCAAAATACAGTACAGTTACCAAGTGGGCTACTTTATTTAAAGATTAAAGAGAGAGTCATGAAGATGATCCTTACGCAGGGCACCCTCAAATCACAAATACAGCTGAGAATATTTAACGTGTGCGAGCTAGTATTGAGAAAAATCCGCATGCAACACATGATATAAGTGAAGCCCTGACATCGCATGCAACACATAATATAATTAAAGCCCTGACATTATTATTCATTTTATAATCAACGAAATCATTCGCAACGCACTCAAAAAAAACTAACATCACATTGGATACCCTACTAGTTAAATAATCAAAATTGAAAGAATAAAGTTAAGGCATGTAAGGAAAATTTACCTCTTTTTCGAAACGTCCTATAAAGGCTATGTGATATTGTTGCAGGAAATAAATAGTTGTTTTATTTGAGACAAGTTGGACACAAGTCAGCTAACGCTAGTTAGGTCGGTGAAGGTGAAAGTGCAAGAACTATAGTAAAATGCAATAGGTTTTTAGCCGAAAAAACATTTTCTACATTTTCTTTAAAACAACAGTTGTTGTTCATTGGGTTATGTTGAAAGGGGAGAGACCATTAATAGCAAATATTTTATAAAAAAATTGTTTGAAACCTCTTATATGCAAAATAAATAAGTCAAGACCTAAAACAGGCACTCACAATTTCAAATTTCTCCATGATAACGCTCTACCCCATGTAACTCAAACCGTCACAAAGTGTCTAAACAAAGTTGGAATTACAATAATTCGCCACCCACCATACCACCAGACTTATCTTCATTCAATTATTGGCTATTCGACTTGATAAAAAAAAAATCTTGATGACAATACCAACGTCGAAAGCTAAAAAAACCCGCATGACAAAGCTACTTGAAAGTATACCTAAAGAGTATAAAAAAACGTTTCACAAATGGCTTGAACGAATGCAACTTTGTATAGATAAAGATTAACATTATTTTGAACATTTAATAAAATAAAGTTAAAAAAAACTCTTTTATCTTTTTTTTATAGGAGAGTTCTGCGAACTTTCCTAACGACTTATGTATATACACTACCGTTCATAATTATTCAAATGACATTAAATTTTTTAAAGAGTGATTTTTTTATTTAACTACTTTATATGTTTACTTTTGTACTATTAGATAATTAAAAATTATTTTGATTAAAATGCTTTGATAATCATGACAATAAAAAAATGCTAAAGTGAACAAGATAAGATTGTTTATTTAAAAAAAATTGCTGTGTATGATAAAATAGTGTGTATTATTGACTGTAAAATATGGTGGATGTAGTGTTAAGGTGAGGGACTGTTTTGGTTGGGATATCAAAGGTGAATTTGTAAAAATAGAGGGAGTAACAAAAGTATTTGTACACTTAAAAAATCATGCCACACCTTCGGAAAGATGGTTTAATGGAAAGCCATTTATTTTTTCAGAAGAAAATGACTTAAAGATTAAACCCGAAAAAAGTTTTATAAGTTATTTGACTGAGTCTGAAAACTATCAAATGTTGAATAAAATTATTTAGCCTCCCCAATCACTCTGTAAAATCCGATTAAAGATCTCTCTTCAACCGCATTTTTTCGGGAAGTAATGTCAAAGACAAATCTCAAATTTTGCATAAGATATGGAAAAAACTTTTTATTTTTTTCCAGATAGGATAGGTCGTTAAGTAGAATACTTAATTGAGAAATCATCAAAAATTGGAAAGGTCGTTAATTACAAACTTGATTTTACCTTTTTTTATTTCATAATATAAAACTTTATTTTCTAAACATTTTTTTTATTTGTTTATGAGAAATGAAATTAATTATTTCAATTAGAACAAATTTTGGACTTCCCTTTTCACATACACCCTGAGTAAGTAATTAGGTTTCGTTGTTTAACTGTCATCAGGAGGAAAAATTAATTACAACAAGTAAACATTAAGCAAAATCAATGGGCATCCTGAGTTTTATTACATAAGACATATCTTTTTATTAATTTCTCTCGATATCTTTTTATTAATTTCCTTATAAATAAGGAAAAAAAAAGTTTCAATTATGAAAGTTTAAATTTGGACTCCCCTTTCATTATACACTCTGCACAATTTGTTTTTTATTAAACGTGGAATATAGCCGCTTAGTTAAATATTACTAGTTTACATAGCACAAAGAAAATACAAATTGAAATTAGTCCGCTGGAGAGAAATAAGGAGAAAAATGTCACTTTCTTTTAAAGTTAGGCTACCATACATTATACTAATGGTATATAACTTTCGTTATCATAATATCCTTAGGATATATGAAGGGAAGACAGAGACTTAATACCAAAAAAAGCTGTTTGAAATTCTTTATATAAAATTTAGTCTTTGCTCCTTAGTGTTTTGGATAATCAAGCATTTGTGGCAAAAAAAGTTATATATCCAAATTTTGGACCTATTAAGTATAAATTATTATTTAGCAAAACTGCTCATCCCTACGTCATATATTATGAGTCTCAAATGGCATCAGATTTCTGAAATTTGTTATCCTAATTGTTTTCAAAGGGCCTCATTATCTTCTTTTTTAAGTTAAGAAAAAGTTTTAAATGTTTTTGCTGCTCTTTTCTACACAATATTTTAATAAAAACTATTACTGATTTTTTGTTTGATCTAATGAATAGATGTGACATCATGGCGTTGGTACTTTACAAAAGTTTTTTATTTCTGTGGTTTTCTGCCTTGAAAAATGTATTAAAATACCAATAGTACATTTAGTCGTTAGACCTCTTCTACTGCTTTTTGTCTACTGAAGTTACTAACAAGGTTTGCCTTTATTGTTACAATGTGTATAACAAAAAATGTTTTTGATTTAACTCTAAAATACACGATTGTGCTGACAAATAACAGAGATACTTTTTATAGCTTGATTCTTATTCAAGCATTAAAAGATTTTATCTCCACATAAAAGTATTGTTGATCAACACCTTCTAATATATTTTGAAAATTCCTAAAAATTGCATTTCCAGTTATTTTAAATTGGTTATCACTGTTCCTTTGCTAGACCATCAGATTATTGAGTTTAACACAATGTTCGGTGATGCAACTTTATAGTGTTAAAATTATAGTTTTAGAAAACACCTGTTTTTTAGCTTCTCTGTTCTAACCTTAAGTTTCTTCAAAAACGATTGCAGAAATTCAGTAATCTTGTTATTCAAGTTGGAAAGAACACATATCTTTTATTACCTATAAAATTACAGACTTAACTTTAAAAGGCAGACCAAATCCTATACCAAATACTTGATTGGCTTATTTATTATTGCCAAATCAAAGGTTTTATTACCTTTTGCGAATTTGGTTGAATTTCATTTAACTGGCTGAATTTTGGAAATGAGCTTTAATTTAACAATACTGTTTTAATAACAAGTTTTTAACAAATTTTTAAATACTCGTAAAATTGTGTTTTAACTATTATTCAAATACAAAAAAAGTATAAGTTGGAAAAATGTCTTATCTGCCTTTTTTAAAACAGATTTATAGGCAGACATCTTTGTAAAAACATTATTTGGCTTTGCGAAATTATTACAATAAGTTTTTTGACTCTTGGTCAGTATTAAAAAAGTTTATTTGTAATTAATATTTATTTACAAAATTATATAATTTATTAAACTATTAAATATTTTACACAGTAAAATTTTTGGATAAAAACGTTTGTGTGAGATAGTGTAAGAAAATAAAGGTCTTAGTCAGTCAATTTGAACTTGTAAAGAGATTTTTCCAGTTAGAAAAGTCTTTTTTACTTTGTAAGTTTGATTTTTGTTATAAATAAAATTTATAAAAACTTCTACCAGCTATGGATTTTCTACCATGGTCTTAAATTTTTTCTACAGAAATCTTGTATTTAAAAATTCATATTATAACCTGTATATATTTTACGTCAGCTGAGTATTTTAAAAAAATATTTTTTTTAATTTGGAATAATAATATTTTCAGCTAAACCGATCGTTTTAGCAACGTTATAAGTCACTAAAAGAATTATTGAAACATTTTTATAAAATACGTAATCTGGTCAAAATCCAAAAAAAAAGGTGGAGGGGGAAAGTGGCATACTTTTTTCTTTGTACTTACCCAAAAATTTCTTGTAAACAAAACCAAAAAAATTTTTAAAGACATCTTTAAATAGTTTAACATATAAAATTAAATAAAAAAAATTCTACTATGTAACTCTTTATTTTGAATTAATTTTTATACAATATTTCAAGGGAGTATAGATGCCCTCGTTATTAAGTATAATAAATATAAAAAATCATTAAAAACAAAACAAAAACAAAAAACAAAT